CAGGTTCTTCTGTGAAAACCACTTTAAAGAGGAGAAAACCACAATTACCCCTTGGGATGACAGAGCACTTAAGGGACATGTCAGGTGGCAGAGGGTGGGTTCATGTAGCCAGAAAAATCATTCTGCCACAATTTCATCCTTGGAGAGCTAGAATTAAGAACCCATTGTTTTACAATTCAGAGTGAAAGAAAGCTCCATATCACCTCCAGGGCTGGGAGAGACACACGGAAGCCTAGTGAATTGTTAAACAGGGCACACCTTCTCTATCCCCAGGGGAGGATCTGGAATTTGAAATCCCGGGGGCCTGAGATTGGGGCAAGTTAGGGGTTTTAAATAGGTTGAAAAACTCTGGACTCTGCACCCTTTAAGGCTCCCTGAGTTCTGCCAGTCCATGTAAAATTCTCTTGATGATTATCAATTGTTGGAAGAGAATTTCTCTTATGATGTGAAGTTGGAATTTAACGCTCATTTTAAGATGTCCCCAGCCCCCATCTCTCTCTCTCTCTCTCTCTCTCACACACACACACACACACACACACGTAGGGCTGGAGATGGTAAACTTTAGACTGAATTTTTTACCTTGGTTCAGCCAGTGGAATTGCAAGAGCTTCTGACCACAGCCAAGGCCCCTCCCTGCTGTCCCAGCACGGAGATCTAGATAAGAGTTGGTGCCAGGTTGCCCCTGGTTCTACTGGGCAGCTCTGAGGGCTCTGGGGGGGCCCTGTCTCCATCCTTACCCTCCCTGAGGACTAGCCGCCCTGGCTCCTTCTAAAGATCCCATAAACACGCTCCAAGTGCTAATACTCCTTCCTCACCTCTGAGCCCTCGCTTCCTTCTCTTTGATGTCAAGTTCCTTTTAAAAAATTTTTTTTATTTTTAATATATATTTCTTTGGCTGTGCAGGTCTTAGTTGCTGTAAGTGGGATCTTTAGTTGTAGAATGTGAGCTCTTAGTTGCGGTATATGGGATCTAGATTCCCCAACCGGGGATTGAACCCAGGCCCCCTGCATTGGGAGCAAGGAATCTTAGCCACAGGACCATGACGAAGGTCCCTGAAGTGCCTTTTAGATGCGCCCACTCTCCTGCCTCCCCTTCCTCATGTCCCATGCTTCCTACTGGCTACTTCCCCATCACTTCCTGGCAAAGCTGGGCAACGAGCCCCACTGCCTTAGTCTGTTTGACCTCAAGGCTGCAGACTGACCCAGCATTCCCTGCCCAACCCCCCCCACCCTCCCACTTTCACCCCATCCTTGACCTTCCTGCCTCTTGGCCCCCTCCCGGGCCTCCACGCCCCCCAGCCTCTGCATCCCCATCTTAGCCTCCAGCCTTTCCCTGACTTCCCCTGGAGAGAGTCTCAGGGCAAAAACAAGGACCATTCAGTAGGCTGAATGGCAAGGCTGAAAGGATACATGAATTTGAGAACAGAAAAATAGAAAGTGAAAAAATGGAACAGAGAGACTGAGCTCTGGGGTCACAATGGCAAATGGTCCAACACACATGCCATTGATCGGAGTCCTGTCAGCTTGGCCTGATGAAATGGCATTTCCTGTCCTCTTGTTCTGCAGCTGTTTGACGTTTTTTGTTTGTTTGTTTCTTTGTAAGAAACGTAGTAACAAGGATGCAGGGGTGGGAGGAAGAGGGATGGCAGGAGACTTCAGGGTTAAGAGTGGGCTTTAGGGGACGCTTCTGAGACCAAAGCTTCTGTTGGTCACTTGCTAAACGTGTGACCTCAAGCGGGTCACCTACCCGCTCATCTGTACCTACTGGGTGAGGATTAAGCAAAAATGAGCCAAGCGGAAAGTCTGGCCGAGCTGAGTGCACAGCGAGTGAAGTCGCTCAGTCGTATCCGACTCTTTGCGACCCCGTGGACAGTAGCCTGCACCAGGCTCCTCTGTCCATGGGATTTTCTAGGCAAGAGTACTGGAGTGGGTTGCCATTTCCTTCTCCAGGAGATCTTCCTGACCCAGGGACCGAACCCAGGTCTCCCGCATTGCACACAGACGCTTTACCATCTGAGTCACCAGGCAAGTGCGCAGTGAGTGCTTTTTATTCTAATAACGAAGAATTGAATAATTGTGGTCTCACCACCACCATCAGCCATGCTCTTGTCATCACTTCTCATTCTCTACATTCCCTTCCAGATTTGGAAAAATGCAGAAAAAAAATCCAGCTCTTTTTTCTAACATTTTCACAATCACAGTGTATTATCATGTACTCTGCTTTCAATTTTTTTTTTTTAATTTTACTTGGCCATGTTGCTTGGCACGTGGGCTCTTAGTTCCCCGACCCCCTGCACAGGAAACATGGAGTCCTAACCACTGGACTGCCAGGCAAGCCCCTTACATTTATTCTTAAAAAAAAAAAAATTCTTGAGTTTTTGGTTTCTCATGTTGCCACTAAGTGTTCACTGACATCATGTTTAAGGGCTACGCAACAGCCCCCTGCCTTTTTGGTGGGCTTAACTTTTGTTTGTTATCTCCCTGTGTTATTTAACCCAAGCTTCTGGTGTGGGCAGGACAGGCAGGTTCTTGCCAAGCATTTAACTCTTCCAGCTTGTGCCTGGACGTCTCAGAGGCCGCTCAAGTAGGATGTGCATTCAAGCTCTGCTATTGTCTTGCCATGGGCTCTGGGCAAGTCACCTGAACTCCTGAGCCCCCCTTTTTATGCGCAATGACAGGCTCTGCCCACCCACCTCACAGAGGCATAGGTGTCCTTGTTCAGACTAACATGTCCACCGTCATTGCCACTCGTGGACTAGAAACAAAAACACTCTGGTCTTCAGTCCTCTGGGAAGCACAAATCTTAAAAGCTTCCTGGGAGCTGGCTGTGATGGTGGAGTTCTCTGCCCGGGTACAGAGAAGGCACTTACAAGATTCCTGCTTAGGAGCAGTCATGGGGGTGGTGGGGCCGGTGGGCAGGTGGGCAGGGTTCCAGACGCCACTTCATCTATAACGCTGCCCATCTCACACCCTGGGGCCTCCTCGGAGGATCTAATTGGCATTGAATGGAAAACATTCATCTGGTCCAATGTACCCACTTTATAGATAGGAAAACTGAGGCCCCAAGAGGTGAAGGGGTATGCCTGCCAGCACTATTCTGGGTGACCCCTGAGCGATTTTCTTTCAAAGCACCCCGAAAGGGGGCCCTCGTGGTCTGAAATGGAAAATCACCATGAGGTGATGCCTCCAGGGAGACAAAGTTGGACCTGGAACTTGGTTCTGGAAAATTTCAAAAGTGATCTCTGTCTTCTCACGTCCTGCACACCAGTATGCTAACGTGAAGGAAGCCGGAACTCCAGGTGGTCGGGAGGAGCAGATGGTCACGTGCAGGTGTGAGGATCTGTGTAAACAGTGAGGCAGGTACAGCCGGGGAGCCCCCCACCCCACCTCACTTCACTCCAGGCCCAAGAGGTGTGCTTGAGCAGTTCAGAGAGAGAGAGAGAGAGAGAAAAAAAAAAACTGGGCCTGACCCTGAGCTGGGCCCCTGGGAAATGCCTCTAGGAGGAAACAGAGTCTTCCCGCTGCCTGTCAGGACAGCTGACCCCGGACCTGATCTCAGCTAACTTGACATTTTGAGGGGAGCACACCCCCACCCCCGTATCTGCTCTGCGTCTCAAACACGCGGAGAGAACTGGCGCGGCAGAGGAATTGCTATTGATTTCCACTTGTGTGGGCTGACCCAACAAAACCAATGCGTCAAGTGCCTGTCTGCCTCGCTGCTTCAGACGCTCACCCCAACCACATGCAGCATCTGGGGTGATTTGTCACGGTCCAGCTGGGCAGGGGCCCTGGCTTCCGCCGATGGACTCCAGGCCAGGCCGAGTCGGGGGCTCAAGCCAGCAAATGCCCCGCCGCTGATCCGTCACCAACCAGCCACATTCTGGGCAGCCCAGGAATTGGGATGTCTGGCAGCTGCGGCCACGCTGGGAGATGGTTGGCCCTGGCTGGGAGGGGCTTTTTGAGGAACACAACCTGAAGCCCACTTGCTTCAATTCAACAGGGCTCGGTAGTGGCATTATCACTTGTTTCTTCCTGTCTGTGACCCCCTGATTTCAGAGGATTTAATGGAATGTATGTGTGACCAAGAGCCACTGAGCTCTGGCTCTGGCGTGGCCACTGGCCAGCCGTCCTTGGCAGCTGTGAGATGGAGAAGACACCCCCATGGGACCAAGGGCCCGTAAAGGCCAGGGGTCAGAATGCGTGCCCAATCCCTGGCTGCCCACCTTCCGGCTGTGGCCTGGGCAGCCACCTTCAGGTCTCAGCCTCTGGCTGCGCTCCCCCGCACTACAGGACTGGAAATCGTACCTACCCCCCCCCTAGGGTGGCGGTCGTGGGGGCTGCATGAGGTCACGCTGAGGGCTGGACAGCAGGGCCTCACACTGACCCCTCCTTCTACAGGCAGGGAAAGGAGGCTCAGAGAGGGGGGTGACAGTCTCTGGGCCATACAGCGAGGCGGAGCAAGATCAGGAGGGCTTAACGTGAGAGGCAAGCACAAAAGGCAGACGGACAGAGCATCGCCCTGCCCTCTTCCTCTCCTGACGGTGGCATCGCTGGACTAGGATGGCAGGGCTGAGTGGGGGGTGGGGGCGGGGAGGGGAAGCAGTTATACGCCGGGCTCGGATCATTTCTTGAAAGGGTCAAAAATTTTATTTGAGGACCTTTTTTGTTTTCTGTTTGTGAATATACAAGCTTCCTGCTGTCTGGGAGAAAGGGAGGTGGTGTCCAGCTGCACAAGGCTTGGGAGGCTGGCCCTGGGGCTCCGTGCCCATCCCTCTGCCTGCTTGCTGGCCTCGCGGTTCTGTGGCCGCGGGCTAAGGCACGGTGTGTTCTGCAGGAAGGTGCTCACGGCTGGCTGGTGGATGACGAACCAGGCGGCCTTCTCAGGGGCTGCGAAGCTGAGGCTGTCGAGGGGTAGACTTGAACTTGGGGCCCTGGCAGGGGGCTCCCCAGCGAGGAGGCTCTGGGTGACGGTACCCCCCGGCTGGTCCCGGCGCCGCACTCTCACGATGGTATCATGCCTTTGCTTCTCTTGCGGTCAGCCATGGTCCTCCGGTTGTGGTTGGCTCGGGTGGCCTTGCTGGCTTCCTTCTTCCTGCGTTCCTGCACTGTCTCTCGGCTCTGCCCGTGGCCCCGGGGGCTGCCGGCCACCGCTGTGGAGCTGTCATGCCGGTACCTGAGGCAGGAAAAACCCACCCCCAGAAGAATCCATCAGCTGGAGGAGAAGGCCCTGACGGGAAGGGGAAGGGCCTGCTGCTTTCCTCCGAGGTCCCCAGGAGGGGACACCAAGCTTGGGCCAGGACCCCTCCATGCCAGCTTCAGGTCGGAGGAGAAATGGAGTCTGTCACCCGCTGGCTGAGTGACCTTTGGCAGATTACTTAACATGTCTGGGCCTCAGTTTCCTCGTCTATAAAATAAAGACAATGACAAGACTAGCTACTTCCTAGATCTGTTGCCAGAACTATCTTAACACATGTAAAGCACTTGGGGGTGTGTGTGGGCTTCCTGGGTGGTGGGCTGGGGCTTCCCCCGCCCACCGCCACAGCGCCTTAAACGCTCACCCCTTCCTGGCCAGGAAGGCCATGCGTCTGGCTTCTGCTTTCTCCCGCAGCACCGCAGGGTCCTGCACAAAGTGGTCGGGCTGTGGAGGAGAAAGGAGAAAAGATCCCGAGCTGCCCCCTTTCCCAAAGCCGGGCTGTGTCTGGCCCCATCTTGGGGATACCCCCATGCCAGCAGTCAAGGGGCAGCCACGGCGCGGCAGGGCGATGCCCCAGAACCCGGCTGGTTGTTCTGGTCCAAGGTCTCCACCGGAAGCCCCCCTCTGACCCTTGTTCCCATTCGCAGCAGAGGTGGCTGACGGCTGGTCACAGCTGGAGCCGGATGATGACAAGGGGGAGCGACGGGGGAGGCCAGGAGGGTGGCCTCTAGAGACCACGGGGAGCCTGGAACCCAGGAGAGCCGCCTGGAAACTGGCGCTTCCCCTCGCCGGCGCCAAGGCTGGGGGAGACTGGGACCCAAGGGCCACAGACAGACTGTGGGGGCCTGGGCTGTGTCAAAAACACAACCCAACAAGGGGAATTAGTGACCTGTGGAAAACAGCAGGATTTTGACATAAAAACCTGGGCTAACCCCTTGCCTGGAAGGAGGGAAAGCTCTGGAAGGTCCAGGCCTCCGCTGGGCTGAGGAGCCCCTGGGCAGGGGTGCCTGCTGCCCCCAGCCTCAGTGTCCATCAGGCCCTGCCACTCACTGATGCTGGTGGCCTGGCCCCGGACACAACTGAACTTGTCACCGTGGTGGGAGGATGTTGGGGGGGGGGGGGGCGGGATCCAGGACTCCCAGGCTGCAGCCCTGCTCACCCCGAGCAGCGTTGCTCTCATCTGTTTTCTATGAGGCGTTAGTTAAGATTTCACTAGAAGAAAAAGTTTAGTGGCTAAAAAAATAGAAAATGTTCAAACCCATCATCACAGATGACCTTGGGCTCTCCTGCTTCTCTGATGTCGAGAATTGCCAACCTGGGTATGGAGGCTGGCCCCCAGGCTCCTGAGCCTAATGAACCCAGCAGCTCAAAGGCCTGGCTTCTGATCCTTCCCCTGGGCCCTTGAGGGGCCTTGGAGGAGGCTTCTAAGCCAGCAGCTCTTCAAGCAGACATCCTGGGCTTAAAGGGACCCCCTTCCTGGGCAGTGATGCTGAAGATGCCTCAGGGCCAGGCTCTGGGAAGCGGGGCTGAGCCCCTGACTCACCCCTCAGAGCTGGACCCTCCCCTCCACCTGCCAGTTGCCAGCCAGGTACCTTGGGGGCTTCGACTGCAGCCTCCAGCTCCTCTTCCTCCTCGTCCTCCTGCCCTTCGCCGGGCACTCTGGTTCTCAACACCTGAGGGATGGTAAAGGGCCTGAGGGTGGAGAGAGAAAGGGAGATCGAAGACTAGATTAAACCTGGAGAGCGGAGCCTCCAGGGGAGGAGGGGGGTCCTGCTGAGAGGGCCCGCCAGGACTGGAAACCAAAGCGCCTTTGAAGCCAGCTTTGCTCCCGCCCCAGACTCTGTGTGGGCACCAAGGTCTGAGGCGGGGGCTTCGGGGAGGCTGAGCTGGGTCCTGGGGACAGGGGTGGTCTCCAGTCCTCTCTAGTCAGGGCGGCTCTGCCTTTACTAGGGGAATTGGGGAACCTCCCTAAGATCCCACTGGGGAAAGTTTTCTGCAGTTAAGAAGAAAAATGGAAAACTCCTGCATGAGAGCCAGTTGATGGGTCCTCACTCAGGGTGGGCTGGACCAAGCGGCCAGGGGGATGGCTAGGGGTGGAGGGAGCACTGGACCAGGAGTGGGAGGCTGGGGCTCAGGCCCTGGTTTGGTCGCTGTCTTGCTCGCGGAATCTGTGTAAGCCAGACGCCGGGGGAGGGCCGCCCACGTCAGCAGCCTCACCTGCGGCTGATGAGCTCGTCCTCCGAGTCCGCATCGTTGGCGCCCACCTGGTTGCCGTCGTACGTGTCATCGTACTCGTCCTCGTAGTCGTCCCCGCGGCAGGGCGCGCCCTCGCCCGGCTGCAGTGGCACCTGCGACGGCCGAAGCGTGGGCCCGCGGGGCCGGGCTGGCCCACCTCCCGCTGCTGCGGGGCTGGCGGCCGGGGACGCCTCCCCTCCGCCCCCTCCCCTTGCCCGCCCCGCCCCCTCCCCTTGCCCGCCCCGCCCCCTCCCCTTGCCCGCCCCGCCCCCATCCTTGCCCGCCCCGCCCACCTCCTCCACCACCACGCTGTACTGCTCATAGCGCTGCCGCTGCGCCAGCACCTCGCGCTTGTCGTTCAGCAGGCTCCGCGCGCTCTCCTCCTTCCTGATGTCGAGAGGGAACAGCGGGGAGACACGAAGGAAAACCATCAGGCTTCGGGGGCAGCGGGAGGGGGCCGCAGCGCGAGGGTCCAGACAGACCACCACTCACTTCTCCCGCCTCTGGCCGCCGCAAACTGAGATCAAGCACCGGCGGGGGGCGGGGGGCTCGCCAGGTCCAGCCACTTCCGAGGGCCCCCCCTCCCCCGCCAAGGAGCAGCTATTAGAGTGTAACACGTGTCCCGTTCGAGGCGTCCACCCCGGAGAAACGTTGGCCCCCCCGCGGAGAGGTCTGATTGGGGATTTTCTTTTCAGCACTGTGTGTAACAGTGAAAAACGAGAGCAATTCATGTCCATCATGGCCCAAGGACCAGGGCCCACAAGACGCTGGGTGGCAGTTCTCAAGAGCGACAGTTTGTGCTGATGGAGACAGAATTCTAAGACATCCTCCAGGGGAAAAAAGCAAGCGCAGAGAAACACACAGTGTGATCTCATCTGTGTAAAAAGCAGAGGGCAGACCAGACCTGTCCCCTCCTCCTGCGGGGACGTCCATATCTATGCATGTAAATACAGACAGAGGGCTTGTAGGGCGCACCCCCACCCCCACCCCGGGTTATTCTGAGGAGGGGCCCGGGATCACCAGAATTATTTCAAATGAACAAAAACTGAAGAAACAGCAAGCCCACGGGTGGCTTTCCTAGTCAGCTCAGGGGAGCCCCAGCCACTCCCTCTCACCCCCGCTTTTCAGCCCAGGGACCACGTCTGGCCTGCGGTTCAATCTCCCATGTCAGACGGCACGGCAAGAAAAGTCTGGAAGTCTCACTCCGGTCCTGTCACGGGGGGCCAGCTGGGGGCGGGGAGGGACCTGTTTGGGAACAGAGCTGCAGCACAGCCGCAGTGGGGACTCGGGCCTCTGGACTCGAGGCTTTGCAAATCTGTAGAAGAACCTGGCTTGTCAGACACACAGGCCTGTGGAATGTAGTTTCTAGCCCTGCAGGGGAAAATCAATATGAGATGCCAGGCAAGAAAATCCAGCTTAGCCGTGAAATCGGGCCTCTGGAATGTATCAGGGGTAGGGGGGAAAAACAGAAGAGGCACAAAGCCCGTAGTGTCCATAAAAATCTTCTATTAACTGGCTTTTAGTGCGGAGAGAGCCAGGCGCCTGAGTCTGATGGGCTGTGTCTGGCCTGGGAGCCTGGGGCAGATCAAAACTGGGGCCCCCAGCATGGCGGGTTAGGACCTGCTTCCTTCAACTTGTTTTTTTAGTTTTTTTGTTTGTTTTTATTTGGTTGTGCTCGGTCTTAGTTGCAACATATGGTATCTAGCTCCCTGACCAGGGATCGAACCTAGCCCCCCTACAGAGTCTTAGCCACTGGACTACCAGGGAAGTCCCCCTTGAACAGGTTTTAATAAGGGCTTACTATGAGCTGGGCTGGGGAGAGATTCAGAAGAGTAAGATCTGGATTTGCCCTCATGGAACTCAGTCTAGTGGCAAAGAGCAGAAGTGTGCTAGAAGTGCGTTTCCACGTCCTGGAAACACAAGGAAAGTAGAAATGAATGGGGGTGCAGGGGGCTGAGTGGGGGGGGTGGGGGGAGGCGCTAGAGGGGAGCCTTGGAAGCTCCGTGATGTGGAGATGTTTGGTCTGGACCAGGGAACCATCTCGGGCCACAGGAATCTGTCACCTCATGCCAGGAGAGGGAGCCTGTGACCGTGGCCTCGGCCCTTAGCAGGCGCTCTCTCTGCCAAGCTGAGGGGTGGAGAGGAGAGAGGCAGAGAGGAAGGGAAGGGGCCAAGCTCATTCGGGTGGAGCCCCTGGTAAAAGCGCACCCATTCAATCAACAGAGGCTTCCTGAGGTCCTGCCAGGTACCAGGTCCCGCACTGGGCCAGGGGACCAAAGATGAATGAGCGCAGTCACATTCTCTCTGCCCCATCCCACGGCCCCTGGTCCACCCGGTCCCCAGTGCGGGCAGAGGGAGGTTCTTTCACACTGCATGGCCTCTGGTTATGTGGCTCCCCAGCAGGACCGCAGAGGAGCCTGGCAAAGTGCTCCTGCCTCAGCTGGGTCCTAGGAGAGGACATAGGTAAGGATAGGGTACCTCGTCCAGGAAGGCTCTGGCCCCATGACCTCATATGAAGCTAGAGAAGGAAAGAAAGAAAGGGGCAAAAGCAGCCAGGAGAAGACACAAGTGAGGGCCAGAAGGTCAGCCAAGCCTCGGGAGCTCCAGAGCCTGTCTGGAGCAGGGTGCCTCCTCTGCCTCCCAAGCCCAGGTACATGCAGGCTCCCCTGAAGCTCGATCACCTTTCTCCTCCTGACCTCCTCCAGCCTGTCCTTCAGGATTAGCCCTCAAATTGGCCCTTAGAGGGGTGACACTCTCCTTTGAACTTCTACAGGGTCTGCAGAGGCAGTAAAGCCCTCCTTTTCCGGGTGAGGAATCAGGCAATCCAGAGAGGCCAAGCAACCCTCCCAAGGTCACACAGCTTCCACCAGCATAGCCAGGGCCAGAATATAGGTCTCCTGACTCAAGTCTGCTCAGCTGTTTCCTGAGCGGTGTGGTCGCAGGCCAGCCTCTTATCCTTGCTAAGACTCGATCGTGCCTCCAGGGACGATGCAAGGATGAAATCAGAGGATGCCCAGGAGCGGACCTGGCACCTGCTGAGCTTCACAAAGGGAATCCAGTCTCTTTGACTACGGGACTCCTCAGAGCCTTTATGGCTAAGGTGCTCTGTGAGTCTCCAATGAGGCACACAGGGTGCGCAAGCATCTTTGGCAACAGAACTAATCTGAAAGAGAATGCCTTATCTCCTGGGGCACGACTGTCCAGTCTGAAGGAGTAAGGGGTCGCAGCGTTACCCTCACTGCCTCCTTCCCTAGCTACGATACACCTGTAGCACGTGTGCTTGGCGCCGACCTAACAAGCCCCTCACCTCACCCCCACTCCTAGCAGCCCCTCATTTTGCTCAGGTCCTTCCCCTTCCCCCTTCTCCGGGAGCCCTGGAGCCCAGCTCCCCAGTGAGACATGAGGGGACTTGGGGGGCCACTGGGAAAGGTCTCCTGGTCTCTAAGAGAGATGCAGAAAGACTTGGCCCTGACTTCCTGGTGGCCCAGTCATTTCTGGACGCCACGCTGCGGCCACCCAGGGGCCATGAGAAAGGAAGATGCAACCTTGAAGATGTGGTTGCACCACAGGTCAACCGCGCCTCAACTGCCCTACCCTGCGCCCACCCGTCCCACAAGGGGACAGAGTTCCTCATTTCTTGAGCCATTTAGGGCTCAAGTATCTGGTTTAACGACGCACATACATTTCAACTCAAGGGTGACCTGCCTTGTGCTGCTTGATTTCTCCTGTGTTCTGTGAAGACAGGGCCCAGGCCCTAAGCTCCCCGCCCTGCCCCCATCAGGACGGGTGACCCCTCCGTGCCCCTCCCAGTACCTCCCCACTCTGTCGCATCTTGACTGATGGTCTAAGTCATTCCCAACGTCTCTGTGCCGTGGGAGGGCGAGGCCTGGGTGCCCCGTTCCCCTTGCCTCCCAGGGTTTCGAGCACAGGATCTGGCCATAGTCAATCACTTGATAAACATTTGCTGAGTGGATAAATAAATAAAGCGCATATGAACAGAGCCCCTGACTCTTTTTAAGCCCCAACCCCTGGGCTACCCAGCACGAGTCCAGTTTCTGAGCCGGGCGGCCAGGCGCCCCTTGGAGCAGGCAGACAGTCCTCGCCGTGTGGCCATCTCCTGCAGCAGGGCCTGGAAGGGCGGGCACTGAGATGGGACCACATTGCCAGCCCAGGACCTGGGGATGTCGCAATGTTTGTGACTAAGCAGTTTGCAATAGTTTCCTGTCCAGCCAGCCAGATGGCTTTAGAGTTGCCCTGTGCTGGGTCCCCGAGCCCTCAGCCAGCCACTCTACCAGCGCTGGACGGTCCTGGGAGCAGGGAACAGCTTGTGCTTCCAGCACTGGGGCTCCTGTCCCAAGAATCGGGCAGGGCCCTCTCCCCTCTCTGCCCCTCATTGCCTCCATCTACGTGATGAAGGAGAAGGCGCGCTGGACCTGCCCAGCGGGCCCCAGCTTTGTAGGTTCCATGAAACGCTCCATTCACGCTGAGGGGCTGGCACTGGGCTGTCAGTGTCTGATCCTGCCACCATGCCATGTGGCTGCTGACTCTCAGTCCCTCCAAGGGGTCCCCAATCGAAAGCCAGGGGATCTTTCCAGACCATACACTGTACCGGTGAGGGGGACCCTTGCCATGTTCCCCATGGCCTCAGGGCCACTGCCCCTGCTGTTTGGTCCACCTGGAAAGCTGCTCCTGCCCGCTCTGCACAACTGACCCTCCCTCGTCCTTCCACCATCCGCCCCATGCATTGACGCCAAGGAGCCTTTCTGCCTGGACTGAAGCCCCGACTAGAGGCCTGGGAGCCTGCGTGCCTCCACCTCGGAGAATCTGTTTCATCTGTGAGTTCACAGGGCTTGTTTGCCAAGCCGATCAGTGCACATGCCACGTGGGCAGGGGCCGTGTCTGTTCCATCCCCCACCACGTCCCCAGCACCTCATAAATCCAGGGCCCAGAAGCACCAGGCAAATATTTGTTGAATAAATGAATAAATCATGAATAGACTTTTCAATGCCCCCAGAGTACGAAGGACACAGACCAAAAATAAGTAGAAAGGCCTTCAGATGGAATATATTCACTTGGGCAGAGGCCTTCGTTCTCCCGTTGTGTCCCCGGGTGGAGAGGCACTGGTCAGGGAGCACTGCTGAGGAGTACTGCCCAGCTCTCCCACCCGGGACTCCTCCGAAGATGGGAGAAGGGGAGAGGGGCCGCTTTGGCCCTGCCGGCCTTTTGCTGTTAAGGAGGGCTCACTAACTCTGCACACAGGGTTGGAGCCTGAAGTCAGACTGTCAGAGGCCCGGAGCCCGGCTGCTGGGAGCATACCGACCTGGGCTATGCGGGAGCCCCAAGCGGAAGCTCCATGACCACTTCTATCAAGATGACGGCCCTGGGTGTCTCTCGTCCTCTCTGCACTTGCAGAGTTGGGGTCTCTGGGACCCCACAACCCACCGGACTCACCTCCTGCCCTTGTGCACCCGGCTCAGGTCCACCGAGTCCCTGCTGAACACGTCAAACTCATCATTCTGGAAGACGTTGTGACGGGACGTCACCAGGGGCGTCGGGTCTGGCTTCACCTGTCTGGGGGGGCGACATAGAAATCCATTTCAGGGGGCTGTTCCCCCTCCCATGATCTGTCCATCAGAGCCTCCACTCCCCAGCAATAGCCACACCTGGGACACAGGCTGAAAACCTGCCACCCTGCACACGTGCCACTCACACGGGTTGTGTTCCCAACAGCCCTGCGAGACAGACAGTCAGAGGTCACTCGAGCTGGGTTTTTTTTGCCTCAGCGCCTTCCCCTGTAAAATGGGCACAGAGGCTGAGGGGTTGGTTCAAAGGCAGAGCTAGCCTCATTCTGGAAGTTATCCACTCATCCATTCAACAAACAACAGTTATTCGTGGAAGAAGCACCCGTTTACACTCATTCCCGTTGCCCCCGGGGGCTCCATGGAAGGAGTGGGCCCAACTCAGGAAGGGTGGCTGTGGGGGAGTTCCCTGATAGTCCAAGGGTTAGGACTCCACACTCCCCCGCCATGCGCCCTGGTTCAATCCCTGCTCAGGGAACTAAGACCCCACAAGCTGTGCACTGTGGTCAAAAAGCCACAAAAAACAAAGGAAAGAAGGGTGGGTATGAAGGAAGTGAGAAGCTTGGCTGTGCTCCCTCAGTGACCAGGCAGGCGGCAACATCGGAGCTAGAGGGCTGCAACCCCTCAGTGGCCCCCCGCACCCCGTCTTCCCAGGAGACGGAGCAGGGAGGCTGGCGGTGCCCTCTCTGAGCTGCGGGGGGCATGTAAGCACCTCTGGGGGCCTGAGGTTTCGGTTTCCCCAAAGAGGACATCAGCTTCCATGGTTGGGAACCGCCACCCTGGGGAAGTGCCGAGTGCGGGACACAGGAGGAGGAAGAGAGGGAGGCAGAGGAGATGGGAAGGGCCCCGACCGGAGCCCGGGGCAGGCTGGGCGCAGTGAGCTCCCTCCCACCCCGGCTCCCACCTGTCCAGGCCGCGGTCCAGCTGGCCGAGGGTGGGGGCCAGCCGCCCTTCCAGGATGTTGTTGATCACCCGCTCGGGGTCGTAGCTGTAGTGCTCCAGGCAGGCCAGGATGAAGCCCTCGCCGAGGTCCGGCAGCAGGTCCTTCACTTGGGAGATGAGCGAGTCCAGCTCCACACCGCACACGGTGGGGCCCGGGGCTGCAGCCGCCCCCAGGCACTGCGGAAGAGACCGAGGGGACTCGTGGGCTGGGCCGGGGACAGGCCCCAAACAGCACTGGTCCAGCCCTGCCCCTCCTGGCTGAGGGACCTTACCCAAGTCTCTTAAGTCTCTCTGAGCCTTCATTTCCTCTCTGTGAAACGGGGAGCTACGGCTAACCAGCTGAGCTGCTGAGTCTGGCTGTGTGACCTTGCGCAGGGCACTTAACCTCTCTGAACCTCAGTTTCCTCCTCATAAAGCCGCTAGACTACTCCTGCTTCATGGGGTTGTTTTCAAATGGTTCAAAGAGATGATACACAAAAAGCGCGAGCACAGAGCCTGGTGCGGCGAGGCTGTCCACAGGGGCCGTGGCTTCTGGGAATCAGCCCCTTCCCTCTGACAGGTTGACGAGTGAGGTCGGAGGGGAAGAGCAACTGCTGGAGCTGGCTGATGTGGAGAAGCGCACCTTTAGCTCGGAATGGGTTCATTGTTTCAGCTTTTCAATTAAGGAAATTCACAAATCAAAAAAACAGTAATAAAAGTCCTCCATGTCTGAGGCAAGAAGCCAAATGGGGAAAAGGTGGTGGGGAGGGGACCACCGTTCTCCAAGGCCCTGGGACAGTGGACACAGGGCCTGGGGCCTAACAGAAGGACAGCAGCGTCTGGCAGCGGGGCCCGGGGGCCGGCACTCACTCCTCGCAGCAGCTCTGAGCGCCCACGTGGAGACGGAGACCCTGCCATCCCCTCCTTACAGGGGAGGAACCAGGGCTCACGTGAGGGACATGCCTAAGGGCTCAGAGCTGGCAGGTGGCAGAATCAGGATACGCCCCTGAGCGGCCTGACCCTAGAGACTGTGTCGTCTTAATCCCCAAGTCACGCTGCCTCCTGACACGCAGGGGCGAGCCCCGGGGCCAGCGGCCAATCAGTAGGACCACAGAGGTGGTGATGCTGGGTTCGGCGACATCCCAAGCGACAGCACCAGCTCAGCAACTTCCCCTCTGTTTAGAGGTGAGCGCCGCCGGAGATTCCATGTGGAAAAAGTGCCAGTGCTTCACCTTGTGGGGGGAACTGGGGCCCTGCCGCCTTGCCTACCTCACAGGCTGCCCAGCTCGCCCTCGGCTCAGAACCTTCTAAGGGCAGTGTGGAGCAGGCCGGCAGCTCAGAAGCTGTCAACCCCAAAACAAACCCTTTTCCTTGAGGGAACACAGAAGGAGGTCCCCCGCTGCCCCGGCCAGTCCCGTCACACACCTCCTCCTCCTGCGGGAGTGTGGAGAGCCCGCTGACCGCCTCCGCCGCCTCCCCCACCCCGTTAAGGTTCTCAGCTGCGGGCGGGTCTCTGGCGTCGGTGGCTTTCCTCCGGTCCACCCCTTCCCAGGCACTCTCGACCGCCTGGAGGATGTAGGCGGTCCGTGTCTCGTCCCTGGGAGGACGGGTTAAGGCGTCTCTCTCGGGGACCACAGCCCTCTCTCCACCCCTCACTGCATGGCTGAGGCCAGGGGCCATCTGGGCTGCACCCCGCGTGCACGCGGGCTGCCTGGGGAAACGGGCCGGTCCACAGCCGCACGAGCCTCAAAACCCAGTACCTGCTGCTCAGCAGAGCCGCTCTGGGTAAGAGCAGGGCCAGGGTCTGGCAGCCGAGGGTCCTGAAACAAGGCATCTGGCCGAGCCTGCAGCTCCCGCCCTGCACGGACCCCCGCAGAGGAGGGCCTGGCGGGGGTGCTACCACCGGGGGTCCTGTCCAACCGGCTGTGGGCTTTCTGCAAAGGCTGGGGGCCCACAGGGTGTCCCTGGGGCTGGACTCAGCAACCTGCCCCAGCCACCCTAATGGCCCTCAGGCCCATTCCTCGCGGCCCCTCATCCCCTCCAAAACCCCGGGTGCTGCCAAGCCAGATGCTGGGTAGTTGCTCTAGACTCTCACTCTACTTTCTTCAAAGAAAAAAAAAATTTAATTAGTTAGGCTGTGCCAGGTCTTAGTTGCAGCACTTGGGATCTTTGATCCTTAGTAACGGTGTGTGGGATCTAGCTCCCTGACCAGCGATCGAACCTGGGCCCCCTGCATTGGGACCATGGAGTCTTAACCACTGGGCCACCAGGCAAGTCCCTCCCTCACAGCTGCTTCTAACCCAAGCGTCCAGCACCCAAAGTCTGAGGCTGACAAGGTCAACCTCTGCTTCCCATCCTTCCAGGTCTCCCAGCACCTGCAGGGGTGACCCCAAACGCCTCAGCGAGGGCCACCCCAGGGCTCATCTGCCATGGCCAAACCCGGCCCCCACCAGACCCCTGCCCCCAGCGCCCTGTAGGCTGCACGCAATGTCCGCGGGCTCAACAGGCAGGCCTGCTGTGCCCCGGGGAACACTTAGTTCAGGGCGTGGCCATCTCTATTCCTTATGCTACTCTCAACTTGGGTTTCACTTCCGTGTGACATCCCCTTCTCCCCTCGCCTCCCCTGCCTCTGAGTGACGCTATCCCTGCCTGTTTGCTTATCCGTCTCCCATCCTGCATGAGGTCCCCGAGGGCAGGGTTGAGTCCCTCTTGGTCACACAGGCCCAGATGCTCAGCAAAGACCAGGGAAAGCAGGGCTATGTGTACCCCGAGGATCAGAGCAATCTTCTCCTCCCAAAACAGGGTGTCAGGAAAAGCTGGCTCCCACGTGTTCTGGGGCTAAATGGTCCCTCTACTCCTCCAGGTCCAACCCGGTCAGGGCCCAGGGCCCAGGACCCAGGACCCAGGACCCAGGGCCAGGCCCACCCCGGAGGCCGCGGTGGAAGGATACAGGGAGGATGAGGCCTGCTGCAGAAGGCTGACATCATCGGCCACGGGGAAGAGTGCATCGTAATCCCGAAGGAACCTGGAGCAGGGCGGGAGTCAGGAGGGGTGAGGGGGGGAGGGGGGGGGGGCGGGAGTCAAGGGGGCTGGTGGGGGGGGGCGGGAGTCAAGGGGGGGTGGGGCGGGGGGGCGGGAGTCAAGGGGGGGTGGGGCGGGGGGGCGGGAGTCAAGGGGGGGTGGGGCGGGGGGGCGGGAGTCAAGGGGGGGTGGGGCGGGGGGGCGGGAGTCAAGGGGGGGGTGGGGGGGCAGGGGCCGGACTTTGAGGGTGGGGGGGACACCAGGCTGGTTTGCCACTCCCCGAGTCTGCCGCCCAACCACAAAGGCCAAAAGCTTAGATCCTGGTGAGCACAGGGCAGGGGCTCTGTTATGGAAGGTCTCTCCTGGGGCTGGTGGGAGGGCTGGGCGCCGCTCCCGCTGATGCTCCCAGCTCACCTCTTCTCCTGCAGGAAGGAGCTGAAGATCTGAAGGAAGTCTTCGATGAAGCCCTGGACGTTGTCACAGCTGGAACAGGACACAGAGAAGAGGATGTGCTCACTCCCTGCAGACAGGCTCGGCTCCTTCCCGGCCGCCCCACCCCTCTGTGGCCTCCCTCATTCTTCCCTGTTTCCCATCTTTGTTCTGCAACCCCGGGACAGGGGAGGGAGCCCCGTGCAGTGAGGGCAGCGCCCCAGCCGGGCTTGGGGAAGGGGTTCTTCCGCCTGGGTGGGCAGGGGATCCCGAGCGCCCACCTGCTTTCCAGGACTGGGAGGAGGCAGGTCTGATTCAGGAGGATGTGGAGAATCTCCAGCAGCTTCTTCCTGGAATGGGAGAGCCTCTGCCACAGGTCACCTAGCAGCCTTGGAGGCCAGAGAGAAAAAAAGTAGATCTGAGAGGCAGAAAGGCACCAGGGGAGTTTCTTCACAGCCTTTGCAGGTGCCCCCTACCCAGCCCTCCACCCCCCGGGGGCTGAGAAAGCCTCACGGTTCGCTGCTGACAGCAGCTGGCAAAGGGCAACAGGCTCTGAGAGGCTGGCTGGTTCCAGGGCCACCTGTCAGCTCAAATGGTGGCACAGGAACCAGCAGGTTAATGAGTCTGGAGCAACAGCTGAAGGGGAAAAGCTTCCTTGCTGCCAGGAGGCTGCTAGGTAGGGAGGGAAGCGCCAGCCAAATTTGCGGGGCCTCTCGTCCCCAGCCCTTGGCCCTTGGCGTAGAGAAGGGGGTGCTGACGCCCAGCACAGGCGAGCTGGGGCTCTCCCACAACACCCCTCAGTTTTGTCCCTGCCTCACTTGCTGTCTTCAAGCCTCCTCTTCTTAATTGCAGACTCCAGTTCGGGAATGGCTATTTCGTAAAAGGAAGCTAGCCTGCAATGACACACAGGGGGTAAAAGGCTGGATTAGTTCAGAAATCTCACACTTCCTTAGAAAAATCAAAGCACGCTCAAGGGAGTGGGAGGGCCCATTTCTTCCTGCCAGGTTGTTCCCAAGACAAGTTTCTCCCTCGCCCCGGATTGCTCCACTGTGGCTGGTCCTAGGAAGAGCCTGGTGGGCAGCGACCCAGAGCTCGCCCCCCGCTCAGATGGGAGTCCAAGGCCCAGAGGCGCTTGTTCTCACAGAGCAGTGAGTGGGCCACCCAGGATGCACCAAGCTTTGAGGAATAGATACAAGCTGACCTTCTTCTTGCTCAGAAGCTGCCAGCAGCTCCCTACCTCCTGTGATATCAGAGTGAAACTCCTCTGTCTGGTACCTCTGTACCTGGTACAGCCCAGCCGAGCTGGCTTCTCACCTCAGTAACCTCACAGCCACCTGTCCTCAACTCAGACTTAAACTTGCCATCCCCTAAATTAGGAGACTGAGATGAACATATACATCCTATTACAGGTGAAAGAGATAACTAATAATGACCTACTGTGCAGCACAGGGAGCTCTACCCAATACTCTGTAACAACCTATATGGGAAAAGAATCTGAAAAAGAATGGACACACATATATTTGGTTGTTGTTGTTGTTCAATTGCTCAGTTGTCCGACTCTTTGTGACCCCATGGCCCATTGCCTGCCAGGCTTCTCTGTCCATGGGATTTTCCAGGCAAGAATACTGCAGTGGGTTGCTTTTCCTTCTCCAGGGGATCTTCCCAACCATTTGCGTCTCCTGCATTGGCAGGCAGATTCTTCCCCACTGAGCCACCAGGGAAGCCTATGTATATATATACACATATGTATGTATACATGTGTGTGTATATATATATCTGATTCACTTTGCTGTACACTTTAAACTAAAAGAACACTGTAAATCAACTATACTCCAATTAAAAAAACACACAAAACCCAGCTCTCCATCCGAGCCACATGCTTCCTGACCATAAGCTCACCCCTGTGACCATTCCTCTCTGGAACCGACACACAGCACTCAGAAGATGCTGTTCTTAGGCCTTAAAATGCAGCTACCTCTCTTACGGGGCGTAATTCCATCTCTGAACATCTTAAGTTCCCAAAGCCAGAAAAGCAGCTGACGTGCCTAGGACAGAGCTGAATCTGCAGCAGCAGATGTAATGTACCCTGTGAACATTTGTCTGTCGATCGCTGGCTCCTGGCAACTTTTTCCTGGTGTGGGGCTGTCCGTAGACGTGGGGAGGCAGGCCAAAAGGGGCGGGGCTTCTGAGGCCCACAGCGTGGCACCCAGAAGACAGAGAGGACAGTTTGGCTCAGAGAGTCAGGCGTTGCCATGATACATTGTTGGTGAAAGGGTAAACTGAAACAGCCCCTATGGAAGGTGATTTGGCGAAATCCGTGAAAATTTCAATTGCATGTACCATCTGTTCCTGCAATTCTACTTCTAGGAATTTATTCCTCAGATGTAGTTGTAAAAGTACACAATGACCTAGGTGCAAAGTTAGCCTTCATGGCAATGTTTTTTTTTTTGGTAATAGCAAACAGTTGGAAAAAACCTAAAATGCCATCTCTGGGGTCTGGGGTCCCCTACAATGGAGTTCTACACAGAGATACCAAAGACTGAAGGTGGTTCATGCACAGATATGCATTAAATTTAAAAGTAAAAAAAAAGTAAAATGCCTACAGTACATATAGCACTCATAATATGTCGGTACGTGTGCATCCTGTCATGTCCGACTCTTTGCAACTGCAGGAACTGTAGCCTGCCAGGCTCCTCTGTCCATGGGATTTTTCAGGCAAGATGCTGGAGTGGATTGCCATTTCCTCCTTCAGGGTATCTTCCTGACCCAGGGATTCAGCCCGCATCTCCTAAGTCTCCTGCATTGGCAGGTGGACTCTTTACCACTCAGTCACCTGGGACGCCCAATATGCCAGTATATGAAATATTAAAAAGAGGGTGGAGGTAGATAACGTGTTTATTTGCTTATATGTGCATATTTACATGCATATCTTTGGAAAATTCCACAAAAAAACTAACCCAATGGTTGTGTGTGAGAAACAGAAGTGGAGAAGGGGGAGAGGGAGACTTTTCAATATGTGTTTTATATACCCTGTGAATATATTATTTGTTCAGAAAATTACAGTGCAGAAGGAGAGGAAGGCGGAGAAGGCTACTCAGAGAGATTAGCTGGAGGGTGTTTGGTGAGGTAACCCCTTGCCTGGAGCCCTCCAGACCGAGGCCTCTGCTCAACACGCCTTCCTGGCCTCCAGCACAGTTGGAACAGGCTGAGCCGGGCTCAGGCTATTTGTGTGTTGGAGGCAGCTGTTCCTTGCCAAAGCCAGGGTCACTGGCAGTCAAAAATGTTTTCCTTTCTTCCTCTTCACCCTGAAGTGGGTGGGGCTGTGCCCCTGCCTCCAGGGGTGGTTGTTGTTCAGTCGCTAAGTCGAGTCTGACTGTTTGTGACCCCATGGACTGCAGCACGCCAAGCTCCCCTGTCCTTCACCGTCTCCTGGAGTTTACTCAAACTCATGTCCATTGTGATGCCTTCCAGGTACCTCTTAGGAAACTCAGCTCTTCCGGCAAGGTCCCTCCCATCTCCAGAGACCCTTTCCAAGGCCATCTGTGCCCCATTTCGCAAAATGGGAAAGTGCTCATGGTGAATGAAAATAAGCCTAAGAACAGCCTGACTGTTGAGAGTGATCTTCATTTCCTCCCTTGGGGAGTTCCCAGGTTTCCAGTTTGTCACATTTACCATGAGTTAATACCTTTAAAAAATTGTGACAACATTTTTAAAAGTCCCCTCCCCACCCTTTTCTTCTGGGGACAGTGTGGATCGGCGCTCTTTTCTAACATTCTCCGGGAGGCTGAGCAATCCTCATGTCTGATTTTCAAGAGCTGAGGGGACCCGGTGGGCTCAGGGTGCCAGCTGCCATCTCTGGCATATGTCTGCGCTAGATAGATGTTTTGTGGGATAGCTGGGCAGATGACCCAGTGGACAGAGGGCTAGGGGGATGGAGTTGGGTAGATCCCAGAATGGTGGGGGGAGATGCCTGGCAAGAACAGCTGGAGGCCACTGAGAACAGGACAGCCCCCACCCCCCACTGTCGCCAGGTAACGAGCCAGTTACCAGCCCCCCGTCCCGGCATCCCTTTCTCATTGCCCAAGGAACGGATGCCCACAGGGCTAAGTGGGCAAAGAGGGTCTTTCTCCCTCCCCTGTATGCCCCTCTTGGTCTTTCTCCATCACAGCAGGATCTTTCTATGACTTCTTTGGATAGAAGCCTCCAGGGCTCCCTCCTGCCTCCTGCCTCCACCATAAAGGCCCCATTCCCCACCAGCACACGTCGCACACCAGGTCTGACTTCCCTGGGGCTGCATCTTGCGGTCGCTGGCTCCCCAAGCCCACTCCGCCACTCCCACCCCATGTCACACTGCACTCCACGGCTTTCTCCAGGATCTGGGCCACCGCAGGCTTCACTCTGCTGTCGGAATGTCCTTCCGGCCACGGCAGACTTTCTGCGCCAGGCAGGTTGCTGTTCATTCTTAAGGTCTCATCTAAGGGTCACCCTGAAACCGTCTCTTATTCCTCCAGACAGAACCATGCTCCCTCGTCTGCATTCCTGATACAGCCCCACCAGCTGGCCCCACGCGGACGCACATCTGCTCGCGTGCGCGCCTCCCTGCGCTGGAGGCCGGAGTCCTCAGCCTGAGCCTCCTCGGCCTCCGGCACTCGCGGTGCCCGCCCGGGCCGGGGAATCTGCAGCAGACCAGGTCTGAATGGAAACTGTCCCACCCTTGGCTGGCGTTTTTCTCCCTCCCCTCCCCTGCTCTTAGCCCCCCAGTAAAAGTCCTTCTCAAATGCAGCCTCCACGCAGGCGGGCGCTGGAAGAGGGGGCCCGGCACGTTCTGAGTAAATATTGGCTGAATGTGGATGTGAACCCGAACCTCGACTGCAACCACTGTACCTGTAACAGAAGTCGTGTTTCTGGAAGGTCGGACAAGCCAGAGGGAAGATGTCCAGAAAGGCCCAGAGGGTAGTGCAGGTATCACAAAGGTAGAGGACGACGTCCTTTAACTCCTGTCAGGCAGAAGCAAAACACCGCATTATTCTCCCCCAGGGACAGCTCTGAGGAGGGTCTAAGGCAAAGCGGACAGAGCCCAGGGTTCCCCTGGGTCCGCCTGCCCCAGCTCCAGTGGACACATGCCCAGGGAGGCCTAGGGTGAACTCTTGCTCCGCGTTAATACGATTCTCTCTTCGAAGCCGAAGGAGAGCCATCCCTAAATGTGAAGACAGCGCCTGAGGTCCCGCACAGAACACACACCCCAGGGAGGCCAGGACAGCCAGCGCCCACTCTCCGTGGGGTCTGGAGAGCGTGCTGAGAACAGGCAGGGCTTCCTCAACGCTCCCTGATTCTCCCAACAACTCAAATAAGAGGCTGGGCCGCCGGTCAGACCTCCACTTTACAGATAAGGGAACCTCTCTGCGGTTCACGGGGCAACGTGCCCTGCTCCCACGGCACTGGCTGTGCCCTTTTCTGGAACGCTTGTTTAAGGCCTGCTTTCCCACGACAGCGCAAGCTGCAGGAAGGCAGCCCACTGCAGCCTTGCCCCTGCTCTAACTCCGGTGCAAACACAGCCGTCTGCTTCTGTAACTACTGGGCCTCACGGCCCAGCCTGGGGGCCTAGCGTGTGCTGGGGGCCCCTCGGGGCATGCTGGTGCCATGGATGAATGGCCCCGTGAGTAACGCACCCAGGAACCCATCCAGCTGAATTAAGCAAAGACTAAACCTCCATGCTGTTCCCTCTGAGCCTCCATAAACGAAGTGAGAAAGCCTACTGAAATGTCCTAAAGCCTGCGTGATGGGCGAGCTGACTGCGGGGTGGGGTGAGGGCTGTGAGCAGTGGGGGAAGCTCCAGGCCTTCTCTTGGCCAGAAAGCAGCCGGGCTGAAGGGCAGGCTCACCGGGAGAGGCATGTCGCTGGGGGTGAGCCGGCCCCTCTCCTCGAGCCTCTGGGGCGTGGCACTGGCCCCGTCCCCACGCAGACCACAGTGCTGGAGGATATTGCTGAAGACCTGTGAACACAGGAGGCGACTCTCTCACATCCTACTGAACTGGCAGCAGGGACCCCATCCTGCAGCGAGTGACTGGTGACCCCAACACTGCCTTGGAATCTTCAGGATATATGCCAGTGTCCCTGGGATAGCAGGTGAGACAGTGACCTTCTCAGAATGGAACCTGTGTCAAAAGGGAATCATGCGGTCATCCTTTCTACAGGACTGTGGTGAGGACGATGATGACGAAATGTATGTAAACCCTGTGGATGTGACCGGGATTGGCTGGGCAGGTGTATGGGGATGGACATTTAGGAGATAGAGTCAGCAACATGTATTTTTGGATGCCCTGGGCAAGGCGATACTATACTGAAATAAAAGACAAATCAACAGTGCGGGGGAAACAGAGCCCATTGTGGGCTGCACCACATTTGAGCTGGAGAAGGAAATGGCAACCTCTCCAGTGCTCTTGCTAGGAAACCCCGTGGACAGAGTCTGAGCCTGGTGGGCTACAGGCCATGGTGTTGCAAAGAGCCGGACATGACTTAGCAGCTGAGCACCACATTTAAGTACACTGGCAGTAAAATTCTAGACGGTACTGTGAACGGTGCTTATCTCCTGGTGGCGGGATTACGGAGGAAGGTTCATCCTCTTCTATTTATTTATTTATTTATTTTTTCGTAATTTTCCAAAGTTTCTACAACAAGCATTATTGCATTAAAATGATTTCATGCGGCTTTAGAGCTCGGACTTGAGAGACATACAGGGGTGTCCCCAGGGGCAGATGGCTGTTGCGAGACAGCACAGAATGCACCGCAAGCCCCTTCTGTGTGAGTGCTGATGGCCCTCAGAGTGCAGCCCTGTGCGAGAGGGGAAGGACAAATTTGAAGGAGTGACGTGAGGGGCAGAACACAGAGATGGTCTGGGGGTGTGTCTGGGGTGGGGGGATTTCCCCCAGACTCCTGCAGGAAAGTGGAGCAACATCACCAGGTAGGAGAAGGGGTCTGCCCCGCCCCCATCCCCCCCACCCTCCCCAGGGCAGGGCGAAGAGGTGGCACCTGAAGGATGGTGGGCATGGTTTCGTCCAGGTCATTATAGTAACTTGGCTGCTGGATAAAGATGTTTCCTGAAAAAAGAAGAGAAAGGTAGGACTTGGGGAAAGACGGTGGGGTGGACAGGATGGAAGACAAGTTCCACATGGCTGCCAGCATGCTCTGTGACCTTTCGCCCCACTCCTGAGCTTGCCTGCACCACTGCAGTCCTGGCCCTGGGCCCTGCTGGCACAGAGCTCTGGCCCAGCCTAGAAACTTCCCCAGGGTGAGGGAGGGGCCTCGCCTCAGTACAATTTAACCTTTTCAGCACCTCTGCCCCAGCGAATTGGCGAATTACGTAAAAGACCCACCCGCCCTGGTCAAACCAGCTCACCCTGCCGTCCCCGGGGAGTGATCGTACTTGGGCACCGTGCCTTGTATGACAGTGTTGGCTTTGTAAATGGGAGTGAGTCATCCAGGAAAATTAGGAGACGTGATCTCTTTGCCCAAGAAACCTGGATGCTACAGTCCAGGAGTCCTGCCAGGCCGATTCTGGAGAAATTCTCTAGAAATTCTCTCACCCGCTGCTTTTGAACCTGCTGGCCATACACAGCCATCCTCCAAGGTGAGAGGCCGGCCAAGGACCTGGGGGGAGGTTTACCACACACGTGCAGTTATTCCCAGAAAATGAAGGCCCTCCCTGAGTGTGTGTTGCTGTTGAGTCGCTCAGTCATGCGCGACTCTTTGCAATCCCACGGACTGTAGCCCACTCTGTCCATGGGATTTCCCAGGCAAGAATACTGGAGTGGGTTGCCACGCCCTTCTCCAGGGAATCTTCCTGACCCAGGGACAGAACCCCCATCTCCTGCGTTGCAGGTGGATTCTTCGCAACTGAGCCACCAGGGAAGCCCCGAGCGTTCACTGTGCTCCAGATACTGCTGGTGTGAGTGCGGTGGTTAGAGGCACAGTTACCGGGACAGAAACTGTGTTCGGGCCGCCCAGCGGAGAGGGGGCGAGGGTCACAGCTTTCGAGGGGCAGGACCGTGCAAAATGGCACCGCCTCAGAAAGGGGCCTGGCTTCCTCATCCCACTGCAGTCTTGGCACAGAAGGCTGGCTGGCTGTCAGGACGCTCTGAGTCCTAGGTGTCCTCCGTCCTTGGGCAGGGCTGCCCTTGGCTGCCTTCAACATAACCCTGCAGCCCTCACTCCATCCCGGAGGCTTGAAAATGAAGGAGCTCAGAGGCCAGATGGGGCTGGGTGAGTAAGCGAGTCACTAGGTGGCTGGACTTTCTCTAAATGCTTTCCTGGAGGCCACTTGGTCCTGGGATTCCAGAAAGTGTTACCGGCAGGAGCTTGCTTGGCATCTCCCATTCCAGATGGGTGCTGACCCCTCAGCCTGTGAAGGAAGTTCTCCCTGACCATCTGCACCCACCTCCTGCTCCTGATGAGCGAGGAGTGAGTGACCGAGCTGTCTCCCCACAGCCTCTGCTCTTCTTCATTGAACCCTCCTAGCGACATCCTCAAGGTCGTTTGAACTCCTGACTGTGGCGCAAAGGGCTGCATGATCTGGCTTCTGCTGGCATCTCCTGCCACCCTCTCCCATCCCTCAAATTGCATTCTTCCCTCACACCATCCTCAGCCTCACAGAATGAAACTGCCCCTTCCCTCTGCCTGCAGTGACCTCCCAGCGCTGAGTTCACCAGAAGGCAGGTGTCACCCTCTGCAGGCAGAGTCTCCCGACCCAGCTGTTGGGAGCAGGCCTCCTCCCACAATCCCAGGGCCACACGGCGGTCCCCACCACACCCGGAGTGCCAGGCACGGGGAAGGCACTCTCTCAGGAGCCTCCTCGTGCTCAGCCCTGAGTAACAGGAATGCTCTATGAGCGTCAAAATAGATCACATTTCACAGTCCACCCTCAGGCTCTTCGGAGCCTCTTTCTTCTCCTTTATCTGATCCCAAAGACAGGGAAGATCTGACTTTTGATCTCCTAAAGAAATAATTAAAAAGTCAAAGTGATGGCACCCGTCCTTAGACTGAAGCAGTTCAGAAACCCAGGGTGCATGCGAGGTATGGCCAAAGAGACCAGGGCTGTCCTCCGCAGGGTCAAGGTCTCACAGCCTAACTGAAAGGCCCGGCTTTCACAATCACACTCGCTGATTCACAACACCAGCCTTGACGTTGAAAAAAAAAAAGTGGGAGGTGGGGACAGGGCAAGGCCTGGGCTTCTGCCCGAAGGACAGTCGGCCAGTTCCTGTGCTCCACCCCCACCCCTACCCTGTCTCCTTTGTCAAGCCTCTTCTTCCAGCTGATCTGCTTTGCTCAAGAGCTTCTGTGGCAGAGAAAGCAGAGGCTGCCCCATGCTGTTGGGGCATGGGTTGGGAAGAGAGCTAACGTGTGTGTTGGAGGGTGTGGAGAAGGGGCCTGCAGACTGACAGGCAGACAGACACACACGCAGTAAGAAGGGGCGCCTGATGCCCGATCCTGCCATCTTGTCTGTGAACCAGCCTCCGTGAGCCAAAGACAGGGCTTCCCTTCGTAAACCGATTTCAGATTCTTAATCTGGGGATGAGAACATTCTTAAACAGCTCAAAATCTATGAGGGGGTATGTCTTCCTGGAGACAAGCTTCCGTCTGATTCTCAGAGGAGTCAAGTGACCCTAAAGATTCAGAACCCCGGCAGCAGGCGGAGCTCTAGCTCCAGCCTCGCCCATCTGCGGCCAGACGGCCTCTTCTCCTGGGTCCTCGGAGCGGTTAACAGCCCCCAGACCCAACGCTGACCTTGCCTCTACTCACTCTCCAGGGGGGTTAAGACTCCTCCCTCCAGCCGACCTCACGAAGCCCCGTCAACTCTCCTCTCGGGTGTCCCTTTCCGCCCAGGCTCTCCCGTTCCAGCCCACGCTGAAGCCCTGGGCCCCTCCACGGCCTCCTATCACCACCCTCCCCACCTGCGCGCTGCCCGACGGACCGTGTCAGCGGACGGCTCCCCACCCTGCTCCGTGCTCCCAGAGGCTCCCACGGCCCTGTCACGATACGAGCTTACACGTATCGAGTGCCTGTGACGTGCCGGGCTCTGTGCTGCGCCCCACCTCACATTCACTCCCCACAACCATGCTACAGGCTGGATGCCTCATCAGTCTTCCCTTTCTTCAGATGAGAAAACGCAGGCTTAGAGCGGCTAACTGCCCGAGTCAAAGGGACACAGCCCATATACAGCTGTGGACTGGGCAGCTGGACTCCAGGACGCTTCCCGTTTGGCCACCGAGCAACGTACCCTTCCCCAGGTCCCTGGCTCGGAGCCCTCCCCACTCCCCGGTCTGACCCCAGCTTCTTCCCCTGAACCCACGCTCCCTCCCAGAATGCTCTGCTCCAACCAGACTGGCCTGATCATTGTTTCTCTAACTAACCGTGCTGCTTCTGTGCACTCACCCCATCCTCTCGTTCTAGAGTATAATTATTAAGGGTCTTTTCCCAGGGAAAATACAAGAAATTAACTGATGACCAGGCCAATGATTAGACCTGAATGAGAAACCAGAGTTTGTGCCAGTGAAAAAGCTGGATGTGAAATTTCATATGCATTAGGCCCTAAATACATTTTTCAAAAATATGCAGAGAAAAGACTAGAAGGGAATAATCACCAAATGATGGTCTCTTCCGGGTGGGGCGGGGGGGGGGCGGTAAGTGCAGGAATTTGGTAATTGCTTTCCTGCTTCTTTATACTTTATACTCTTCCAAAATTTTCTAAATTAACCTAAATTACCTTTATCATTGGGGCTGGAGGGGAAAGGAAGGAAGGAAACCATTTCAAGGGGTGATTGAGCTCTGTAACTGGGCATTAGGAAGACCGTATCCTACAGTCTCAGGGTGAGAAGGGCTGACAGGGTGTCCAGGGTGACCAGTTGGGCCAGTTGCCACAAGCTCCTCTTCCAGGGCAAACCCACGGGGGCACTGTCCCCTCTAGAGCTTCCCAGCAAAGCTTCTGTGTGAGCCTGCCAGCACCCGCCTTCCGACGGGCTCCAACTGCTGATGTCCGTTCCCTCCACGACCCCAGGGAGTCTCCTCTGACCCCTGTCCCTGTCTATTCTCAGAAGCTATGCAAATCTCAACATTTCTGAGGCGGCCTCGTCACCCATGAGGCAGAGTGTGAGCCTCAGGCCCACGTGACGTCAACCCCAGCTTGGCCACTCATCAGTCACGGCCCTGCAGGCAAGTCCCGAACATTCAACCTGTTTGCTTAACCGTAAATGGGGGTGGCGACACCGCTGACGTCACAGGGTGGCTGTGAGTACCGCCTGAGATGACACAGGCGGGGTGTCGGCACACACTCAGCAGAAGGTTAGTTGTCGTTGTGGAAGCAAACGCCCCCCTCCTTGGCCCAGGACACCCAGCCTGACACTGGGGCTCCGAGATCTGCCCTTGTCTGTCACCCCTCCCCGCTGACACACACATCCGCTAAGTCACTTCCAAGCACCACCTGCTGCTGCTGCTCTGATCCCCCTGTGGACACGTGGGGGTCATCTCTGCGCCACCTGCGTCCCCCACTAGCCCTGGGCCCCACATCCTACCCACCTATCATCTTTTGCAGCAGCGGGGCGTTGCCTTTTCCAAAAAGCACGCAGAGGTCCAGGATCTTTGGGATGTCGAACAGAAAGTTGTTGTAGAGGATTTCTCCGAAAGCAGAGGGCGAGATGAAGTGATCCTAAGGAACAGCAAGGAAAGGATGAGAGACCTCCCCAAACACGTGCATGGCAGGGCAATAGCAAGCTTACAGGAAACAAACGTCGGGGCCATCGGTGGGGGCCTGGCTAGTAGAAGAAGCTCTGTCCACACCAAGGATGTGCCCAAGCCACGTGGACTGACCTGGAGCAACAGTCACTCACCCTAATGTAAAATGAAGCGGAAGCTCCCTGTGAAACCATCAGCTGGGGATTCATTCTAAAGTTATTTACAGGTAAACTACCATGATGTCTGCGACTGCTTTAAAATACTCCAAGACTGGACTTCCCTGGTAGTCCAGAGGCTGAAACTCTGCGCTCCCAATGGAGGGGGGCTCAGGGTCCATCCCTGGTCAGGGAACTAAGATCCTGCATACCACAGGGCACAGCTTGAAAAGGACAAAAATAAAATAAAATGCTTCAAGAAAAACAGAAAACTCAGTGGGGGAGAGAAAACAAGATCGGCAAGATGCTAACTGTTGAAGCCAGGTAATGGGTGTGTGGGAGTCATGATACTTCTGTGTATATTTAACAGTTTCCATGTTAACAAGCTAAAAAAACAGAAAAGATACTATTTTTAAAGTAAATATGTGGGCATCACACACAGAGACACAAACACATTGAAAGGAAAAAGCTCCCTGAAGGAACAGGCACCTTAACAGTGGTTATTTTGAGGGAAGGGAATTTTGTGGGCGACTCTCATTATCTGCAAAATATTTTTGACAGCGTTAGTATTTTTAAAATTGGGGGGAAGGACTTCCCTGGCAGTCCAGTCAGTGGTTAAGACTCCACACTTCCACGGCAGGGAGCAAAGTTTCGATCCCTGGTCGGGGAACCACGTGATTGCACATGCCACATGATTTGGCCAAATAAATAAATAAAATTAACAAAAATAAAACCGGGGTGGGGGAGTAAAGGCTTTTAGAAAGCACATCCGAGGTCCTCTAGAAAAAATCAGAATCGGTGCTTCGCCCTCTGATGAGAAAGGAAAGGCAGTCACGCGCCCCCTGGCACAGGGCCCTCGGCTCCCACTGATGGAAACACTGGGTGTAACGCAGGCGACCTGGCGTCTCAGAGGGTAAGGGAGGTGGCACAGATTGCTTCCCCAACAGCAGGAATGAAAGCGGAGGGGAGACAAAGAGGAAACTCGACACTTCCAGAGCCTGCATTCCCATGGGTGCGGGCCCGGCACGGGGGTGTCAGGTGGCGGGGGCGACCTGTCACAGGACCCGGGGCTTACTTTGGATTCCTTGTGCGTGGACATACGGAGGAAGGTGAGAAAAACGCTGCGGTGGAGGCGCCTCTGCATGTCAACAACCTCGGGGGCCGGGGCCACCCACTCGTCGAACTTCCGGGGCACATAGCGCAGGTAGGAGTCCAGGCACTTCTGCAGGGTCTCGTCGAAGATGACCTAAGCCAGGCGACAGGGGAACAGCCAGTCACTGCATCACTGGGGTCCAAGGGCCTGTGGACCTTTCGGGGCTTATGGCCCATCAGCCCTGGCCTGGGGCAAACATGCCAGCCAACCCCACGGGACCGAAGAAGCATAAATGAGCCAAGGGCTAAACACGAGTTTCTAAAAATGCCATGGTGGAAGGCGTTTGTGTAAACATCATTAAGATGGTGATACGGAACACAGTAATTCCAACCACAGTTTGCTCTTAGGGATCCAGTGTAAGAAGCAGAGGAAGAAAAAAGCATCTCCTGGGGAGAAAAACAACAGCACCCAACCAACGGCATGGCATGTGCCTGGTCTTAGCGGGAATGGTGGGAGGACGTTACCTGGCACCAGAATTTATCATGCGGCAGGGCCAGGAGCCAGTCCAGGTCAGTGGCTACGAAGGTGGCGCGTTCCAGGTATTCCTCCACTAGGGCGGGAATGTTGTCTTTAGGGGGCGGTTTGTATAACACAAAATACCGGTCTGCCTTCTGCTCGGGGTGCTACGGATCCAAAAACCACGTGTTAACGTGGCAGAGGTTAGTCAGCCAGGGCCCCTTTGCCAACCCGCAGCAACAACCCTGGGCTGTTCCAACCAGTGACCCTCAGGCATAAAGAACCGAGTGTCTCTGACAGAGGGAGGCTTGGCCGCAGTCAGGGAACACCAGGCGAGCATTAAATACCGTGTTTTCTGGAGAATGTTTAATGACACAGGGAAAGGTTAAGAGAAGAAAAAGCAAGACACAAACCCTTCTATTTTATACAACCATTTTTGGGGTTAAAAAAAAAAGCAGCCATATTTACCACATTTACACACTGGTACAGATTTTATTTTTTTAAAAAGTGTTGGCAGGAGGGAACCTCAAAGCTAACAGTGGCCATCTCTAGTAGAAAGGATTAGGACTCGACTATATTTTCCAATTTAAAAAAGAACATGTAGTATTTTTCAAAATTACACAGGTGAGGCAGGAGGGTGTTTTCTTTCAAAAACTCACAACAGTATGGAAAGATAAGTCGCCTGGGCCACCACCCCGGTCTAGCATCAAACCAGAGGGAACCCCGCCCCATCCCGTGAGCATCCTCACTGCCCTTTTCTAAGCGTTTACATTAAAATGTAGCCACACGAGGCATTTGTTTGGGCCCATTCTCATCTTTCTGACACAAACAATGTCATACTGTACATATCACCGTGCTGTTCCCTTTGTATAATCAGAGAAAAACCTCAGTAATTTTTTGGTAAAGATGCTAATCAAGTAATTGCAGGTCTCGGCTTAGCCTCACAAGTTCTCTCTCCTAACCCTTACCTTGCCGGGAACAAACCTTACTTTGTTCCCCATAAAGAAAAGATGAGCTCGGGTTTCTCCTCTGACTACATTAGGGCTGCTTTCTCCGGGGGAGGCGGTGACAGGAAGGAGGCCGCCTGTTTTCGTCTCAGCTGTTATCAACCACAGTCCACCCACTTCCAGGTCTGTCAGTCCAGGGGGGACAGGGAAGTCACGGCTGACGGCTCAGTTTGAGAACCAACTAAGCCTCCCGACTGCAAACTGCCGAGTTTTTGAGTTCCATGGGCTCCTTGGGGGGTTGAGGGCCTCCACTGGGTCCCCCGCCCATTTAAATCACAATTTATACAAAAGGAATCCTGCTGATTGAAACAAGTTCAAAACTCCTCTGGAGGGCCTAAATTCATCTCTGTGGCTTCCAAGTTCTCCTCCTCTGCCGGTTGCTGCCTCCCCTCTCACTTAGGTCACTTCTCGGGCCAGGCTACTCACTGACTTCCGCCGCCCAACTGACACACACGCGCGCGCCCCCCGACCTTCCTGCAATCCATCCTGCGAACATCTGCTGGTGCCCTGCTCCGCCACGTGTGGGGCGCACGTGAGACGGGGGTCTGCGTGCTCCCAGAGCCCACTCTGCGTGGCTAAGTCAGACAGCTCAAACCTGGCGGAGGCGCTGTGGGAGCGCCTGGGCGGCGAGGGGGTTGGGGGGCACCAGGACACTTCCAGGAGTGGCAGAAATGTTCATTATCTTGCTTGTGGTAATGGTTTCATGTGGGTTTACAGATGTCAAAATGAACCAAACTGTGTACCATAAATATATGCAGTTAATTGTCTTCCAATGACATCTCAATAAAGTTAGATTGAAAGGAAGGGCCTGCCTTCTGTCTTTCCCGCTACCCTGCAGGTCTCTGGAGGGGTCTGAGTCTTGTTACACAGCAGTCCCAGCCCCTAGGGCTGGGCTGGCATCTAGCACTCCCTCCATACACACTTGCAGGCTGAACGGAGGGATGCATGGAGGTAATGAAGGACCAGGTCCTGCCAAGGTCTTTGAAGCACCTCTGACGCCACGCCCAAGATCAGGGGCCACGGAGGATCCCAGGGCGAGGAGCTGCAGGCTCTCACTTTATCTCCCACCCTTCAGGCCTGGCCTAGGTCCCACTTGCTCCGTGAAGTTCCTGAACATGCCCTGCCCATCAAACTTGTGCCCTGTTCATCTTGATAAGAAACTATTCTGTACTGTTCTCCAAATCCTCCCCTTAAATGATCCTTATCTTTCTCAAGAGCCCATTCAACCACTTGGGTGCCAAACTTGATTTCTTTACAAGGCTGGGCTCCTTAACTCTGCGATACCGCTTCCACCCCAGGGGCCGGTGTAGGAATCAGGCTCTCAGGACTCCGGGACAACATATGCAGGACCCCCTGCCAACTCCACCCTTCTCCCATTGCCCTGCCAGGCTGGTGCTTATTCACCCTTTCACACGCAGTTCAGGATCTCCCTCCTACAGGAGGGCGTCCCTGGTGGCATGAGCTCTCCCACCACCCCAAGACCTCCGTGCCCTCTCCCCCCTCCCTGGTCTCGATCAGCGGTGTGGACTTCCTTCCATCACACGCTGGTCATGCATGCTGCAGAGAATCCACCAGTCTGCTTCCTCTCCATCCGTGGGCCCCACCAGGGCAGTCTTTTCTCTCTGTAGCTCCAGGGCCTGTCCCATAGTGTGGCAAGGGTCCTTGGCTCATTTACTGGATGTCTCCTGAGAACCTAGGATGCACCTGGCACTGGACAACCAGAGGAAAGGGAAGGGACCAGTCCCTGCTCCCACAGGGCCTGCAGTCTAACAGCCTGGTGTCCAGGGCACGGGGAAGGGCCCAAGGAACCAGCCTCCACCGGCGCCATCCAACAGAACCTCGGCAGAGACGGAAGCGCTCCAGACCTGTCCCGTGCTGGCCGAGACAGCAGATTCTCACCACATGGGACTATTTTAACTTAAATGAACTAAAACTAAATTAAAAATCCAGTCCCTTGGTTGAGTCACCCACAATTTCAAGAGCTCCATAGCCACATGTGGTGAATGGCTAACATACTGTACAGAACAGTTCCTGATTTTCTAATCAATATCCTCCTTACCTAAAAGAGTTATGAATATGAGGATATATTCAGGGAACATGGCTAACATTTTGTAATAATTATAAGTGGAATATAACCTTTAAAGTTGTGAATCACTATGTCATACACCTGAAACACATAATGTTGGATATCAATGCTACCTCGAGTTTTTAAAATAGTTATGAAAAAGAAACAAGAGGCTATATAGCAGGAAGGTGAAGAAAGTATAGACTCCAGGGACAGCTTAGCCGGGGTCCCGTTCTGACTCCCTTAGTGTTCTAGTTTTGTGACCTTGAACACGAAGTTTCCTCATCTGTAAAATGGGGACAACCAAAATGCCTACTTGGAGGGCTATGGTTCGGCTTCCATGAGATAATCCAGGTGAAACGTTTGGCCCGGAGCGAGTGCTCTATAAATATTAAGCACTATTATTAGAGAGTAGTCAGGAAGCAATAGGAAGCCATCCAGAAAGCAGGAAATAAAACACCAAGCTCTTGTTTCCCACGACTTTACTCACACACCCAGAAAATACTTCCTCCCACCTTGTTCAAGTAAGCTAATGTTCTTGGGAAAACAGCAAGCGGGTATGGGGACTCCGGTCCCCGTGTCTGTTTCCTCCAGCAGCCTGGAACCTCTCCACGGCTCTAATCTCCCCCACAGCTGGTCATCGGCATGCTCACTTGCATTCTCCGTCTCACCAGCCCTGCCGGGTCTGCACGTAGTGCTTCTTAGCCCGTTCAGACGTGACCTCTGACATTATTAGTGTCCCCACTCCCGCCCCCCCACTGCCCAAGTAGACCGTAGCTGGAACATCTCTGAAAAAGGCCCATCTGAAATCTGAGCGCCTCCTGCAGGGTCCAATCCCCAGATCCAGCTTTGGGTCAGCCCCGCTGCCTGGCCAGCTCGGGCTGAGTCAGAACTGCCATTAGACTTTTATACAAAATGAAATGCTTTGCAGGGAAGGTATGGGGTGGTGACATGGAAAATACCACTCAAACTCAAGCTACTGCTGGGAAAGAAAACTCCTGCACCAGGGCCTGGAAAGACCTAACAGCATCCTGGCTCCTGAAACATAGACTGTGGTCCTCAGGTCATTCATAAAGCTGATAAAGAGGAATTTACTTTTTTGCTTCTGAGATTGCAAGTTCAATAATATTGGGCTGAACAGCCTCAAGGCACCGGCTCACCAGCGCAGGCGAAGTCCTCAGCTTTCCTGTCTTCAGGTCCTTGTGGGTGATCTGGAGTTGGTCCAGGGGCAGAGCGGGCATTGTGCTGCGTGACCCTCCTGAAAGGAATATGGACGGGAAGAAGAGGGCAGATGCAGAGGCTCCGGGGGGCAGGGGCCTGCTCTGGGGCTCACCCCAGAGCCAGGAGAAAAGCTGCAACCTCTGGCCTCAGGGGGCTCCTGGCGGGCCTGAAAGGCCTGGTTCCCATAACTACTCACCTAGACCAGTGACTTTTTGCCTAAAGCGGCAGTTCTCAGCTGAGGAGGAAAACACTGCCCCGGTGACACCTGATATGGTGGTGGTTGGGTCACTAAGTCATGTCCCACTCCTGTGACCCCATGGACTGTAGCCCACCATGCTCCTCTGTCTATAGGATTCTCCAGGCGAGAATACTGGAGTGGGTTGCCATTTCCTTCTCCAATTTCCACCCAATTCGTGAAGTTCTGGTTAAAAGTAACTAGATCATCTTTCTCATGGCTCCCGCTCTGTGCCCTCCTTGGCCTGTGAGCTCTGGGAGGCCAGTGCCTGGGTTCTCCTTCTCTTGCTACCTTTCCTGTGGCCAGCACAGGCCTGGTCCAGAGGTGGTTTCATGAAATATTTGATGAACAACTGAATACGATGACACTTTTCTTACCATTTTAACCAGATTTGGGGGGGTTGAAGCCATGGGAATTTCCTCCCTTGCAGAGGGTGTTAAGATTTTACAAACTTTCCAGGCTTCAGGGAAGAAGGATATGGATTACTAGGACAAGAAGGTTTTCACAGAGAATTCACGGAAACCTGCCAGAGTGACCTCCTCTCTAGAGAGGCCCAAACTGCCCTCAGAGTCAGTGAGTGGCAGACCCCACATCTCCTGTCTTCCAGTCCAGCACTCATTTCTCAGTGCCACTTGGCCTGATCCACAGGAGGGACGTGCATATTGGCTGAACCATGGGACAGAAGTGACTCAGGCCTCTTAAGACATGCCACAAAAGGCTGGCACATCTCAATGACGACACGAAGATGTATGAAGGGTGGGATGAGGAAACCATCACCTCCTGAGCCCTCCCTGAGGTGCTGAGGGACACGGTCAGCCATGAGTCACTGCGGTCCCGGCTCTCAGATATCAGGCCAGGCCCTGGTGTTACAAAGAGAGACTGATAGGGCCTGGTCTCTGCTCTGTGGGAGCTTCCGATCCAATAATAAGGATGACAATAATAGCAGCAGAAACACGCCTCTCAGGTGCTGGTGCTCTTCTGAGCGATTTTCTCCACCTGAACTCACTTTAGATACCTTAACGGGCTTCACATGTATTAATGCTTGAACCAAGTCCAGGGTTGGTGCTATTAATCTCATTGCCTTCATTTTACCAATGAGCTTCCCTAAAGGCTCAGATGGTAAAGAATCTGCCTGCAGTGCAGGGACCCTGGTTCGGTCCCTGGGTTGAGAAGATCCCCTGGAGAAGGGAAAACGGCAACCCACTCCAGTATTCTTGCCTGGAGAATTCCATGGACAGAGGAGCCTGGCAGGTTACACTCCATGGGATTGCAAAGAGTCAGACATGATTAAACAACTAACACTTTACTAATGAGGAAACAGAGGCTCAGAGAAGATAAAAAAAATTCCCCTAGGTCTCAGAGTTAGTGCGTGGTGAAGCAGGCTGGCTCTTAACCATTTGCTGTGTTGAGACTAGGGCAGTTGAGATGGGGGCAGGGGCTTGTGGTTGTAGAGAAAGCATTTCTAGAGGAGTGCCTAAAGGAGAGCCTGAGCTGAGTCTTGATAGTGGAGACTGGGAAGAAGGGTGTCCCAGGTGGAGGAAACAGCAGGAACGAAGGTCAGGTGGAGGAAACAGCAGGAACGAAGGTAAGGCGGTGGGAAGTAGCTTGGTGCACAAGGAACCTTGGTTCAGGGGCTGCTTTAAAGACTGTGAAGATACCCATCTTCACATGGGATGTAAAGAGAAGGAACTAGTCCCTAGTCTAGCCTGCCTAGTCCCTGAGGCCCATTCCAGCACTAGGAACTCAGTGGATAGTGGATCAAACACATGGGCCCCGTGACTGAGCTTCCATCTTTCACCTCTGCAAAATGCAGATCTGCTGTATATTTGTTGTCGCTGTTCAGTCGCTCAATTGTGTCTGACTCTTTGTGACCCCATCGGCTGCAGCACACCAGGCTTCCCTGTCCTTCACTATCTGCCAGAGTTTGCTCAACTCATGTCCACTGAGTCAATACACGATTTCTAATTGAGCTACTATCCTACTAGCCTTTCACAATAACCCAGTTAAGAACGACAAGGATTATTATGCTCAGATGTCCACAGAGGGGCCCTGATTTGCTCAGGCAAATACCTGAGTCGCCAAGTTGAAACTGAAGCCCAGCTCTTGTGCCTTGGCACCTGGGTCTCTGGTACTGAGTGTGCTAAAAATACTTCTTTCCCAACCTCTGAGAGACGCTGGGAGGACAGCTGGAAACATCAGTGGGCTAGTGCAGAAGTCTAAATGAAGCCCAGGCTCAGTCCTTTCCATCCTCACCTTCCAAAGACGGTAGTGGGAGTGTCCAGTGCAGGGACCTAGGATGGGGAAAGAGTCATAAGGAGGAGGTGGCTCTCCACCCTTAAAATTCTACTTCCCAGAGTCCAGGTCTAGACAGGTACAGACAGCAACCTGCTTTTAGAAGAAATCCACTCCTACAGGCTGGAGCCTATAAGGGCAGTTTAGACTCAGGCTGGTATGATGGTCAAAAGAGAAGTTTATAGTGCCACAGCCTGGGTTCAAATCTTGGCTCCATCCTACCCATGTTGAGACGTGAACAGTTCCTTAACTTCTTTAAGCTCTGATCTCCTCATCTGTAAAATCGGGATGAGAACAGTACATAATCTCATAATCTCCCAGGGTTGACATGAGAAGTAACCAATATTGTAAGAAGTAACCAATATTAAGTGGTCAACACAGTACTTGGAACATAATAAGCACTCAGTAACGTTTGTTGTTGTTTAATCGCTAAGTCATGTCTGACCCTGATGCTGGGAGGGATTGGGGGCAGGAGGAGAAGGGGATGACAGAGGATGAGATGGCTGGATGGCATCACAGACTCGATGGACATGAGTCTGAGTAAACTCCGGAAGTTGGTGATGGACAGGGAGGCCTGGCGTGCTGCGATTCATGGGATCGCAAAGAGTCGGACACGACTGAGCGACTGAACTGAACTGAACTGAAAGTTTGTTGTTGTTTAATCTCTAAATCATGTCTGACTCTTTTGTGACCCCATGGACTGTAGCCTGCCAGGCTCCTCTGTCCGTGGGATTTCCCAGGCAAGAATACTGGAGTGGGTTGCCATTTCCTTCTCCAGGGGATCTTCCCAATCCAGGGTTCAAACCCATGTCTTCTGCATTGGCAGGCGGGTTCTTTACCACTGAGCCACCAACGAGGCCCCCAGTAAAGTTTAGTTGTTATTATTATTCAAGTCCCAATCGTAAGCCGAGCACTTGGGGCTTCCTCAGTTACTCAGCAAATACTTACCGAATACCTTCTGGGACCTGGGCATGTAAAGGACTATTAATCCATGTAGTTAGAGCTTTAACTGGAAATTTCCGAAATGAGCACCACAGAGAAAGGAAGAATGTCACAGAAAACATGACCTACAACCTGGCTGTTGAAGGATAGGAGAAAAGATGGAAAGGAAGGACATTCTAAGCAAAGAGCAAGCATGAGCAAAGGCTCAGAGCCTGTGGCTTTGAAGGATGAGGGAGACATTTGGTGTGGCTGAAAACACAAGATGTGGAGAGGAGAGGTTGGATAGACAAGATGGAGCCACTTTAAAATGAGCCTCAAACGCTGTGCTAAAGATTTTGGCTTTTCATCTGAAGACAGAAAGGAGTCATGTAAGGAGAGGAGAGGCATAATCATAATGAGAAGGTAATAACCTGGTGGCAAGAGAGACCTTCTATGAACCACTGGAGAGCTAAAACTGTTAATAACCTTATTTGTCCCTTCAAATAGTTCTTGAGTACCTACTATGTACCAGGCACTGAAGCCTGGAGAATCCTAAGGCGGGCAAATAACAGACCCAATTCTGCCCTTCACAGAGTTTACGGTCTTGATGGTTAACAAGACAGATATGAACCAAACAGCCACACGAACAAGGAAATTCAATACTTTGAGTATGCTTTGCAGGCAAGACCCATGAGGCTAGGACAGCATTTAACAAAGAGAACTGACTCGACAGAAAGAGGATGTCAAGGAATATTTGAGTTTTCATCTACAGTATGAGTAGAAACTAACTCGGCAATAACTGGACTCTAAAAACGGCAAGGTCAATGATCATGATGATATCTGTGCCCCACCCCACAGGGGATCCTCAGTGTCAAGCAGGGCAGCGGAAGTTACAAATTTAGGAAAGGGCTTTCTCTTGAAGGGGGGCTTGGAGTAAGCTCAAGAAGGCCTGGGAGCATCCCCGCGGCTACTCCTGTCTCAGTTTCTGTCTTAACCCTTCTGGTCTCGCTTCAATATTACCCTCCTCAGAGATCGTACCAGATTGCCCTATCTAAAGTATTCACTCCTCCGGTTGCAGTCATATCTTTAATTACCTAGTGCATTTCTTTGTCATCGACTGTCTCCGCCCACTAGACTGTAAGCTCTATGAGGGAGGGAACTTCCTCTGTTGCTCTGTTTATATTCCCAGTGCCTAGATCTGTGCCCACGTAGGAGGCGCTGGACATAACATTTGTTGAACGAATGAATGAACCCTGAGGACACTGAAGCTCGAGGTGAGGGTAGGAGGACCGCGTCTCGCCCAAGGCCAAGGTCACTCTGGGGCCGATCCTCGAACCCTAAGACTCTAAGCTCTGGCGGCCTGACTCTGGGGTCGGGGTGGAAAGGGAGGAGGAACGGGGCGACTCACGGCCCCTGGGGCAGCCTAAGCCTTGGCCCTGCCATCGAGGCGGGAGGCCCGAGGCCGCGTGAGGCGCAGCTGCAGCCCCTCCCAGGCCCGATGTCCCACATCCGCAGGGATCAGCCACGCACTCACCTTGGCGGCTCCGGTGCCGGCGATGTACCGCCGCCACC